GCTGGGCAAGGTTAACTCAGTCTTCATCCTTGAATGGGTCAACAAATGAGTACCAAGTTCGCATGGGGACTAAACACTGGGAATCCTGTGACAAGCTGACCACTTGTCCAGGTACACATGCTAATGTATTCCAGGGCCCAAGGTCAAGAAAGCAGATTTCAGAGCACTGTAGGCCATGGCCCACTAGGGCTATTGTGCCACTGAGTTGCGTTTATTATTTCTTCAATGAAGCAAAGAGAACTAATTTGCCAGAATATGAGATCTTGCTGTGTTCAATATATGTATCCAAAATATATCCAAAACGCTGAATTTTGTTGGATGATGAACAAATTAAAAATCTTTGAGAAAGAGAGCCATCTATGAACTTTCATTAGGAATGAAATTATTCTCAGAACAACTGGAATATTCAAATCAGAACAGTCAAACTGCAGACATTGTAACTGAGTCTTTATCATCCTCCAGTGATGAATTAGATTTTGAGAAATATTTGGATTATATTGAAAAGACTAAGGCAACACAAATGAAAATAAAGAACCAAGAGCCTTTAGATATAAAAATGATAAAATGCAAACAAGATTTCTACACAACTTTTGAAGAAATAGAGAAATATGATTGTTCTACCAAGACACCACTTTTAGAACTTATAAAAATCTATCCTGAAATGTTAAAAGAAGTAGCCCTAATAGTAAAAGCTCTTCCTCCTACTCCAAGTCAGTGTGGAAAGACTCTTCTCAGCTCTGAAGTTTATCAAATCAGATTCTATGGTCCTCTAACAAAGATCTTGCTGAAGCTATACTGTTTCCTCGAAAATACTAATGCCAGTTTTTCCATTTCATAATAAATGCTAATTAATATAAATAATTTGTTATGCTATCAATTTTTTCTGTAGCATCTATTACTTCTTTTGTATTAAAACAATAAGCTGTAACCCATGTGTATATGTTTACATATATATGAGTGAGTCGGAGTCAGAGTCGGACATTTTCCCTAGCGACTCCACAGCCCTGCATTATACTGATAAAGGTGAACAGTAAGAGGTTATTAAATAATATTTACAATAAAAATTAAATTCAACTTTTTTTTTTTCAATTATCAGTTCACACTATTTCTTTTACACTGCTTAAATAAAAATTTAAAAAAATCAAAATGGCAATTTTGAAATTTACACTATTTAAAATGGATTCAACAATAATATTATTGTTAAAACTGATATGTATAAAATGAAGTTGTCATTTTTTACGAAAATAATCTTGACCACAGATTAATAGAAGCAAATGTTATCCACAATTGTTTCCTCCTCATTAGATTAAATAAAAGGAGTTATATTGTAGTTATGTTATTTATAAATGGAAAAAGAAGTACTGTTTATTTCTATACAATAGACCTGCAGATAATCACATTCTTCAGTCATCCTCCGTACAGCATCTTCAATCATATCCTTTCCAAATTTAGAATAAGTTTCTTCTCCTGAGCTATACAATTGAAGGGGGATATTTTCTCTACACAAAAGAAATAATTTAAATGAAATTCATCACATTTTCATTTAGTGCACATAAATGGTACAAAATCACTTTTTTTTAACATAGAAATGTTAATCTGGATATTATGCTACTTAACACAACATATATCACAGAATTCGATTACTTAAGGATATTTAAGTTCAGGGTAGTATTTAAGGCACTAAAATGATAACTTACTGTCTTTAATAACTTTAGCGTGATTGTGTGCATTTTTTGCAAGAGCAATATCATTTATTATTAGTAACAACTGCATTACTTTCAAAGAAATGCAGAATTAAATTAAAATCTAACTCATAAATAAAATGGTAAGAAATGCTAAGATTTGTTATATCACTAATTCCCTAAGGTAATTTTCTATTGCACAATAAAAAGCTTTGTTAAAAAAAAAAGAAATATTATTCATTAAACTGAAGCATGAAGAAAGTAATTTATGAATCAAGGGATATGGTGAATGAGGTAAACTTCATCACAAAATCTACTTACGATGCTTTTGTATATGACACCGCATGTTTTTGTAATCTGAAAAGAGATTTTTCCTGAATCAAGCACTAATTTTTAAACATTTGCTGAAAATTCTAAAGTCTCTTCCAGAGTTAAATATGACTTTAAACATTTTCTCAAATCTTTTAATCATTCCCTCATTAACACTACTAAGAGTCTGTTATTGATATAACCAATACTATGGCAATCCCCCCCCCAATTTTCTTTATAAAAACTCACAATGAATTACAGATTAAAAGATTTTTTTTATTTGTATTGATAGTACATGAAACTGAAGCTGCATTATTAGTATGTTGTTAATACCAAATACCAATATTTTTAAAATTTATAAATGTTCAAGACAACTAAAAATGCATACATGAAACCAATTTATGGATTTACCAATGGATTTACCTATCAATATTTCATCAACATTAAAAAAAATATGAATACCATTTCAATTGAAAAAATTCAAATCTTTACACATTAAAAATGTATAAGTATGTAAAATATAACAAAATATAATAGTTGCAGTAAAAAATAATTGGCCACCTCAAAATTAACATTCTAGATTTGGTGCTCTCCCCCCAATTCATCTGTTCTCTCAAATTCGAGATTTTTTTAACTTAATTTATACAAGTTATTTGTCTTAAATTTCAAGTTTAATTTTGTATAACAGTGTATTAATATTAAGTAATATAAAAGGCTTTTGAATGAAAACTAAAAACTTTGACAATTGTGCAATGCCAAAAACCAGTTACCTTTTCTAAGGAACAGAGGTTTTTCGATATATTCAAAAAGCACCTCCCAACCATCAGCAAGATGGTATGCTGATTTTGTTGGAGAGGACTTGCCAAATTAATTATCAAAGTATTCTTGTTTTATTTAGTATTGCATCATATTATTATGTTTTTACATTGAATTTTCTGTTGCATTAATATGTGTAGCTACAATAACAGGAAGAAGTTTATCATAAACTGTGCATTATATTTCCACGTCAAAGTTCGCAGTTCAATCTGTATTATAATGGAAATACCTTCATCAATAAAAAAATTGAACAACTTTTATTTGAACATTTTACTTTGTGAAAAAATTTGAACTTTTACCTTGTGGAACTATTTTGAACAAGAACTTAAATTTTGAACAAAATTTCATTGGACATTCTTATCTCGGAACTCTAAAAATGTGCAACTGTTTTTAAAGACTATAGTGTATTAAATTCAAAATTTTACCACTTTCAGTGAAATGTCAAATTCAGTCAAAATATCACTCGAAATTCTATGATGATAATTTTTTGTTTAAAAGTTAATACTATGTTTTACATTTTTCAAAATTATATATATCTTTCACATTTTGCTGCTCTAATGCTTTTTCTTCCATCCTGTTCACCCAACCTTTCTTTTGAAGGAGGAAATATGTAAAATATAAAAAGATACGATAGCTGCATTAAAAAATAATTGACCACCTCAAAATTAACATTCTAGGTGCTCTTTCCCTAAATTCATCTGTTTTCCCAAATTTGAGATCATTCCAAATTAACACTGCTAGTAAGTAACACTGCTTGAAAAAAGGTAACTAAAACTAATGCTGACCAATTATAGCTTAGAATGCTTTCTGCACATACGAGGTATAAATGCTGAGCCACGAGTAATATTCTTCCCTTTTTTCCTGACTTTTGCCATGCAAGCAGCTCTTTGTTGCTTATGCTTCCCTGCCTGGGATGACATCATAGCTTTTTATCTGTGTATATAAAAATTATTTGTATTCAATGATAATCAAAAAGTCTGCCAAAGAACTAATTTCTCATGTGCCTAGAAATAAAGATGGTGATTCGACAAAATTAGTTTTTTCAACGTCTTATTCCTCCTTTCCACCCAGCCATGTCCACAGCCAGAAGTTAATAGTACTGGGTTCATGACTGCACGCTTAGTGATATTATAGTATATTATGCTTAAGACTTCACTTCAGAGTCTGTCTGCAAAAAATACATGAATGTCATCCTCTTTTAGGGTTTTTTAAAGCATATATCATATTTATAATGGCTTTAAGTATTTCAGGATTTTTTTAAGTAAGTTTGCTGACATGATACCTTCACAAATCTGACCAATACTGCTTTAATCTTTCTTCCTAATCTTAACTACTTCATTTTTTTTTTTTTTTTTTTTTTGTAATAGCCCACATTGAAATCCATAATCATCTTAATTCATACTGAATGTAATTCACATGTTTTAATAAAAACTTATATAATGATATTATGATGGAAAAAATTAATTGTTTTTGAAAAATCTATGAATCTTTATGAAATATAGAAACCAGGCACTGCACTTTTGCTGCTAATAACATATTGAAATAAACATAAAAATTTATCTGACTAAATCTTGATCATTTCATTTGACAATTTAATAAAATTACAATTTATAAAACTAGAAATTTATTTTTTGTAATAAGACAATCTTGTTAGTTTTGTTTAAAAAAAAATCACATACAATAAATTTTCTTTTTAATGCTTTTATATAACAGTGCAGATTACTTTATTGAATTTTAAACAAGACATGTCTTCACTTAGCATTTTCTTTCAGTAATTATGACTCTAGAGCAAAATAAGTAATATTTATTGCAATTTTTTTAGTTGATTAAGAAATTTTCACTTTCAAAAGCCACAAATGCTTCCAGAAATAGAATGCATTATGGTTAGGGTTCTTTAAAATACAAAATTTCTTGCTTTCTAGTTTCCCACTAATTTCCTAAAATGTCAAGAATCATACAAGTTTAGAAACTTCCAGTACTTATTGTATTTACATGGTTAAAAATTAGATATTTTATTACGACATATACTTCTCTACCTGCAGTTATGATAAATTTTTAAAACAATAATCCAAAGTTACATAGCTTTTGAAAAGGAGCTTTTTTACGTAAAACATCAATAATTGAATTAAAACTTAATTTTCGTATATTTTGATAATAACTCTGATAAGATCAAACAAAAAAAAAATATTTTGTCTAAAAATTAATTCTCAATTTTATGATAACTAGTTGCACAATCAATCAGATGATGAGAACTATATTAAACCAAGTACTACAAAGATTACAGAATAAGTCACCATAATAGCTCTCTGAAACTCAATACACAAAATTACTTTACAAATGCATATTCAAAGTTATAAATGCATGGAGGTTTTGAGTAAGGTTGCCAAAGGACATTTTATATCACCAAATAATCAAAACTAACTCATAAATGGTCATGGATGTTCTTTTTCTTTCAGTAAAGAAGCAAGAGATACAAAATTTTAAGATGCAATTAGTTTTATTCACTAAAAGCTTCACATGCACTTTATTTTCTTACAAACAGTAGAAACTCTTTGGCACAGTTGAATATTTTTATATTTATTATCACCTCAATCCATAATGCTGAAAAAGCAGTTAAAAAGTTAATGAAATTAGCTGACTATCTTAGTTGTCCTTTTTTGGAGAGGAATTGTGAAGGCTAATATGATACTTAGATTAATTTAGATAAATGGTGGGGAGTCATCAAAGACTTGTTGTACATCAGGATACAAAAGAAAACAATCTAAAGCAATTTTAATAATCCCAGATAACATCTGGTAGCAACTGAAAACTTCAGAGTTTCCAAGAAAAGAAATCCTATATGATGATAAATATCTTTATTTAATTTTTTCCTTAGGCCTTTTGTTAATTTTACATACCTTTCACCATATAAAAGTACCATCCTGTGGTAATTCATTTTAGGAAAATATTTCTTACTAGAAATATTAATTAAAAATCTCTATAAATCATGCACAATTTCTTGAATTACATTCTTATCTTGAAATATTTTACAGGAAGGTCAAATAAATTATGAAAAAGAAATCTGTTTTCCCTTTTCCTCTAATAAATAATTTTACAAAACAAAGTCAAGAAATTAAAGCCTGGCTAAAGCAATTGTTGCCTTAAATGACTATGAGCAGCTTTCATCCAAATTTTAACATGCATATTACAAATGTGAAACAATGGTATAATGAAGGATCAAAATTTAAACATAATAGCTAAAAGAAAAAAAAAAAAAAAAAAAAAAAAAACAGTTAACAGAAACTTACTCAGAAGGGCACACTTCATTAAGAAGGCAAAAACTTTTCGGATGTAGATTGTTTTCAAGAAGTCTGACCACACAGTTGTGGATGAATTAAAATTATACAGGCTTTCACAAGCTACTTCATTCTCAGTACCAGATGATGCTTCAGCTACATGTAAAAGAAAGTCTAAGAATAAAATATTTTTAATAGTCAAAGTTAAAAAACTAAAATTGCTTTTTTTTTTTTTAATTTTATTTTTAACTGCAGCATTATTTACAGTAGTAATTAAGATTTTATTATTATTTGCAGCAAAAAGTCAAAAATTCGCTATTATTACCAACAGACAAAATTAATGAAATTACAGTTTATTATGCAACTCAAAAATAAATTAAGCATTCCTCCACATTGGAAAAAAATTGCAAAGTAAATGTAATGTTAAAACTAATTCAAATTGCTTCTTCTTTAAAATTAGGTACCTCAAGACACACAAACAAACAACATAAATTCCAAATTAACTTATCAATCATTTAAGTACTTTTCGATACACGAGGTGCCAGTCACAACAGTGAGCCAAATCACCATTTGTGATAATCTATTTGTTTTATTTCACAAGCAGTTATTTAATGATGATGCTATGAATAAACGGGGTAAATTAATATTAATTCTGTTATTTTACACATTTTCAGTTACTTTTTCTTGTTGAAGCAATGATTTTTTTGGGGGGGTATACAATTTAGCAATTTTCAAATGATGAAAAGTATGATTAAAATACTGGCCCATACAGAAAGTGAAAGATTAAATTTTTGAAAGGAAAGGTTGGTAATCAGGTAGTATCCAATCTGCCCTTTTTTATTAATTATTTATTTATTAGATGGTGCTACTAAACATATTTTTGAATTTGGGGAATTGGGGGCAATAAATAGGGGGAAAAGAAGTGATTAAAACAGCAATCGATTTAGTGCCACCATCTAAAAAATAGATAACTAATCTAAAAGAAGTAGGTAGCATACTACATGATTACCAAAAGGTTTCAGTATGGATATTGTTTTGTAGCTTGTATGCATTCTTCTTACAGCCATCTGGTGTAGTTACTTCTGGAGGTCAGGAGCTCAAATTAGTATAAATCTGTCAACTGTCGACCAGAATAATTACATGTGTTCCTGATTTGTAAATTTCTATATCTGTCTTTGCTCTAGTATTAATCTTTGCTTTTATAAAATAGCCAAACTTTTCATGAAGCTTTACTTATTATTAGTGTTGCCAGTTTCTACCTCTCATTCAGTTGTGTGTCAAATTTACATTTTGCATCATGTTAACCAAAAAGTAACAGCATTTATCAAACAATGCTAAAAAACTCGTAATTTCTTTATCATTTATTGCTAAAACTATCCAAAATTATATTCATGTGTACTGCAATAACTGAATGTATATTAAATGGCGGAAAGAAATCACCTGATTAACAAAAATCAGGATTGATGAAGCAAAGAAATTCACATATACAAACAAGATAAGTTCAATAATATAAACAGCATCATTTTGCAACTAAATATTTATATACTCTTGCTGATGCTCTTTTCTGTTTTGCTGCACAAACTCTAAGACTTTCAGTTTCAAAGCCACTGTATTTTTCCATTTCAAGCATGCCACTTGCTAACTACCATGAATTCCAAATGATACTATGAATGAAAAGAGAAAGCTTGAAATATGCAAATGCTCCAATGAGGGAGGAGGGGGAAGTAATTTCATTACAAAACAGTATTTCCTGGAAGCCAGTAAAGTAAGAAATTCTTTAGTTTTTGGGGTGCGGACATTGTGCGAGTCCCTTTTTTTTTTTTACATAAATTTTATCTGATCTGTAAAGTTGAGGTGCAGACATTAGATGAGCATATACAGTAACATAAATATATGCTACATAAATTAACATATATAGGTGGGTGATAAAATTTTCTTGCAATTTTCTAAGTTTTTAAAATGTTATTAAAAATTTTACGATTTATTTCATTTGTTCCAACTTCAGTTAAAACACATCTACTTTTTGGTGATGATACATCTTAATCACTGAGAAGAAAACAGTAACTGGTATGTGAATAATTAAAAAAAAAAAAAAAAACAAAAAAAACTAATAAAAATCAGTATGTCTATTCACAAATATCATAATAAACTACTTTTATACAGTTTAATATTTAATACATACTACACATATTTATGTTGGTTATTATAAGTAAAATTTATCATCGAAGCTCACTTTCAGTATACTCAGATGGTGCATTTTAGATAACAGAATAACAAGTAGATAGGGGGTTACTGAGCAATCTTATTTACAATGGCTGAAAGTTACATAGATATGACTTGGAAGTACAGCATCCTTTGCTTTGAAATTTAAGGAACGTTTTACTCAAAATGAAAAATTTCATTGAAAAAATGGTACTTTCTGATTATCTGCACCTTCACTGAAAAGTCATAACAAATATTCATGAAGCAAAGCAGTATGTTACCAAAATAGTTATGTGGCAACCCATGAAGTTGCAAAGAGTATTTACGTGACCATTGCAGTTGTACAAATCCACGTTAGTGCATTCTCTGATTCTGATGATGTTTTTTAAGCAATAAGAGATCATTGTGTACATAAGGAGAATAACTCTGCAAAACGAAAAGGAATTCTCGAAAAAGGTAAGGTATTTTATTACAGATGTTTCTTGCCTTTTTTTTAGTATCGATTGACTGATTGTTCTGTATAAGATTCTTAGTATGGTGCCCTTTTTAAATGGCTGTTGCATTTTGTGCATTAATTTGGTAGAAAATTAGCTGCCAAGAGATTGCAGATGCTTTCTAAAGTTAGCAATGAGTTTTCGACTATTCAGTGGGACTGCAGATAATCAGAGAGTACCAAATGGGGTTTTTCAAAATCCAAGCATGGTAGACCACTACAGAATTTAGTACTGAAACCAGAACTATACTAAAATACCAAATTTAATGTGACATGAGTGAAGAAAAAAACACATGTATCATACTTCTCAATGCATTTCTGCTATATACCTCTCATGTTTTAAAAATTTAAGATTTTTTTTTTTCATTTAATATCAGGTTTATAGCATCAGATGTCATATGAAAAAAATTATGTTTCTTTCTATTTACATCTTTGATCAGCACATTGTGCACAAATTAAACAACTCTATCTTTTGACTAATATGAAAATTGGTACATCATTATTTAATAACAGGTATTTTCTTATGAACTGTCAAAAATTAGAATTACTGTTAATATATAAGATGCCAGCAAAAGTAATTTTATTTTCTCACTATTTTTATTATATGTTTAATGAATGCACTTTCCAAAATGAAGTTTATTTCAGTTGTGATCTATATTTTGCCCAGCTACAGGGACAAGTCTTGGCTCTGCAACAACAGCAACTCGCACACAGTTTACAGCCACCTCACGAGAATCTTCAACATTCCGAGTCTTATCAAGCAGTGGAATCCTCAGCCCCAGAAGAACAGTCCACAAAAGAATATTCCTTCACTGAGGTGACACGAAAGAAGCGGAAAACTTCTACACCTTCAAGATCTTCTCCAGTTCTATCGGAGAACGTTCTATTATTAAGGTCAAAGAACTCCACACGGACACCCGAAGGGATTAAAGCTCAACTTTCGGCAGATTTGAAACCCCCCCCCCAGCTAGGGATCACTTTAGTGCAGATTCGGCCGACAAGGTCCAGAGAGCTTCTCATCCAGTGTCGAGAAAAAGCTCACCTGCTACGCCTGAAACAGGCAATCGAGGACAGGCCAGCACTACTAGAGACACTTGAATTTCGGGAGCCCAAGCCAAGAAGGGAAAGTGTAATTATTTTTGGAGTACCTGAGAATCTAGGAAAAGAAGATCTAACAGCAGCACTTGTAGACCAACTGCCCAATTTCAATCCCAGTGCTTTTCAAATACGAGCAAGCCGTTCCGGGCAAAGCGGAAGGAAAGATAGGCCGTCTTTTAGTGGGTTTTGAGTCTTGTCCTCTCCATCCATACATTAGGATCATACGCTGTTACAACTGCCAGGAGTTCAGTCACTATAGCAGGTACTGTAAAAACGCTCCAGTTTGCGCGAAGTGTGGTAACAGCCACCCGACGCAGGAGTGTAGCTCGGAAAAAGTGAGTTGCACTAATTGCTGCAGTAGTAATTCTGAAAAGGGGATCTCTTTCAGCACAGATCACCCAGCTACTTCAAGTTCCTGCCCAGTGTATGGAGCACATTTCGAGAGCCTGAGAAGGACCACTGCTAAGAACTAAACCAAGATGACACTAAATAAACATATAGCAGGTCTTCGATTTTTACAGTGTAACTTGCAGAAGTGCTATGCAGCAACTATAAATACGTTGCAAGTAATGACACATACTGCTGCCAATGTTGGAATCTTCCAAGAGCCATACGTTTACAACGGAGTGATTCCTAGTGTTCCAACACACAGCAGAACGTTTCTCTCAAAGAATCAGCTAGCTGTGATTATTTACAGTAGCCCACTCTCCCCTCTCCTAATGAAAATCACAGAGCATACAGTCTCCATCAGACTAGACACTAGTAATTGCAGCATTGATATTATTGCTGTGTATCTACCCCCGAGCGAAGATATTACCTCTCTATTAGAGGAACTTAATTCTAACCTTCTAACTGGGGCATCACACTGTATCATAGCAGGAGACTTTAACGCCACCAGTCAACTATGGGGTGCTGACTCGGAGAACCGAAGGGGAATTGCGGTACTCGAATTCTTGGACAGTAAGCATTTCATTGTCATCAACGCTCAGGACTCACCGCCTACCTTTGAAACATCTAGAGCTCGAGGGTGGCCAGATCTGACAATATCAACTCCCAATACAACTCCGTACATACAAGATTGGACAGTGAGTGACCTGCCGTCACTCAGTGATCACAAAATTATTACTTACAGGCTGGATACTCCTATAGACTAATAGACTACATAATAAAGAAAAGATTCAAAACGGCATTTGGAGGACATTCCGTTTTACGGGAACACATTCGAGTGCATGTAGAGAAATTTATCAAAGATTTCAACAACTGCCAGGACAAAAACTCCTTAGATAATCTCTACGACTTACTAGTTACAAAAATAGTGCAAGCCACCCACAAAGCATATCGTTTGAAATCTGTAAAGGCAAAACACTCGATATCCTGGTGGTCACCAGAGCTTAACACAGAGAGGTGCAGAGTTCGGGCACTTCGCAGAAAAGCACAATCCACGGTAGATCCATATCTATGGCAACTCAAAATGATAACATACAATAAAGCCAGAGCTTTATATAAAAGAAAAATTAAAGAGGCCAAGTTAATCTCATGGAGAACTTACAGTAGTAATGTCACTAAAGCCTTTGGACCTACTCAAAAGATAACATGTAACAAGGTGTTTCGTCCTACGACCCTTTCGCCTATGGTGAATAGCACTGCCTCATTCAACATCGAAGTAATCAGTGAGATCATAAATGCAGTTTTTCCTGATGATGATGAAGAGGATTTCTTAGAGGAGCAAGAGGAAGTGAGAAAAACCTACAGTCTGAAATTTCGCCAAGTTACCAGAAGAGACGAACTCCCTCCTACGCAAATGGAAGTGGATAACATCATACGTACTCTGGCACTCAAAAAAGCTCCAGGTCCGGATGGAATTGATAATATCATCATTAGAGAGATACACTGGGAATTCCCAAAACTATTCCTTGCAATCATTTCAGCTTGCTGGAAACATCAGTACTTTTTTAAAAATATGAAGTTGGCAGAAGTGGCGTTATTCCTAAAATCAGGCAAAACTCCGGCAGAACCTACATCTTACAGACCAGTCTGTCTACTGCCAGCGCTCAGTAAGGTATTGGAAAGAGTAATTCTTTACCGATTGGACTTCTTCCTGCAAAGGAACAATGCCCTGCATCCCAACCAATATGGATTCCGAATGGGCAACTCAACCGAACATGCCATAAAAGACTTAATGGCCACTATCAAACAGAACAAGGATAACAATTTGCACTCACTGGCAATAGCCATTGACATCAAGGGAGCCTTTGACTCCCTTTGGTGGCAGACGTAATAAATTTGCTGCACAACATGGCCTGTCCAACAGCCATTATTACCGTCCTTCGCTCGTACCTTCAAGATCGAAGTACAAATAACATCAGACAGGGCATTTATGTCAAAAATGTCTTCAGAGGATGCCCACAGGGTGATGCCTTGGACCAACACTGTGAATATAGTGGCAACTCGGCATTTTCGTCAGTTTGAGAGCGTAGAATACGCTCGAATCATAGCATATGCGGACGATTTATGCTAGTTGTGGCAGGAAGGAGTAACCTCGAACGAGATCTCAATACTGTCTTGATCTGTTCTCCCAATGGGCCAGAGCACATAAGCTTCAGTTTCGGCAGCAGAAAAAACTAAGCTTTGCTCATAGTGCAGCAGCAGCGAAGACGCAACCAAGCATAAACTCCATGGATACCGGTGAAATGTTTCCCCAACTGAAATATCTCGGGCCAAAAAAAAAAAAAAAAAAGAAAAAAAAAAAAAAAAAAAAAAAAGAAAAAAAAAAAAAAAAAAAAAAAAAAAAAAAAAAAAAAAAAAAAAAAAAAAAAAAAAAAAAAAAAAAAAAAAAAAAAAAAAAAAAAAAAAAAAAAAAAAAAAAAAAAAAAAAAAAAAAAAAAAAAAAAAAAAAAAAAAAAAAAGAAAGAAAAAAAAAAAAAAAAAAAAAAAAAAAAAAAAAAAAAAAAAAAAAAAAATATTATTCAACAGATTCACATGTCAGGAATCTAAGACTCGAATAGCATCCTAGCAACAACATGGACGAATGACTTCACATAAATGGGATATCTCATCTAAGCTACTAAAATTTGGCATAGAACCATTACAGAAAGAGTAATAACTTATGGAGCAGCAATCTGGGGTGGCGAACTTACCTCTCACATGAAAAGATCCCTGCTCTCTATTCAGAGACAGCAGTACTTCAAGTATGCAGGACCTACCGTACCACGTCAACACTAGCCCTACAACAACTAGCAGGAATTCCTCCCCTAGATTTGATAGTAGAAAGGGAGGCAGCTATCGTAAGGGTTACCAGGCTGGGTCAAACTTCAACACTCTGGGGTCATAGTTATCACCACTTGGACTACGAGGAGCAAAACAACTGCAATAACTTTCATCCAGCAGCTTTTAATCTCTCTGACGGTGTCAGTATAAACGACCAACCAATTCAGAGGTACAGTAATAACCTTTTCACAGATGGCTTCAAAACTGAGAATGGCATGGGCAGCACCTTCTGTAGACTAGAAAATGGAGTTGTAACATTCGAGTGGAAAAGGAAATTAGGCTCGAACAACTCGGTATACCAAGCAGAGCTTCTAGCTATCAGTTCATCAATTAGATATGCGATCAATTATAAGATAGCTATCAATTAGATATGCGAATTCAAGATAGCTATCAATTAGATATGCGAACACATGTCAACAGGAGAAATTCTCCATACTCAGATGATTCGGCATCAAGTCTGGCGGCTATCGCAAGTCCAAAACAGCCAGGAGTCCATTGGTATACAGAATTCAGAAACAGCTTCTTGACAATGCCTATTTCACAAAGACCCACTTTAAAATGGGTTCCCGCTCACACAGGGATTCAAAGCAATGAAGCCGCTGACCTACTGGCCAAGCAGGTAGCCAATTGCACGGATATATTAGAAAGACCAACTAAACTTCCTTGGTCTCATATTAAGCGAACAACTTTGACAAGTCTGCTACAAAATTGGCAAAGTAGATGGACAGAGGCAGAGGTAAAACGAAGGACATTTCGCTTACTGCCAAAAGTTAACATGGAATTAAAGACCCACTGTGCTAGCCTAACACAGTTCTTGACAGGTCATGGACCATTCCCAGTATACCTGAACAGATTCAGACTTAGGGATACTCCTTTCTGCGAATGCGGAGAGGAAGGCGACACGGACCATTATTACTTCCATTGTGTACATACAAGAACCTGGCACTTGAAGTAACCAGCGGACTGTGCCTGGGCAATGTGGACTACTAACACACTCAAAAACAGAATAGCACTTGATAAAATAGAGAAAATCTCAGGACACTGCCTAAGCAGAAACAACCGTGGATAATATTATAACGTTTCAAAAGTTCAGAACTTAAAGCAGATAACCAGAATAACACTTAGTGCTTTGCAGTAAACAATATGTAAAAACTGTTATTAGTATATAATATTCAACCTTGTTACTCTGGAGTCTTCCCTGCTGTGATGGTATATAATTCCGTTTGGTTCATGTCTGTGGTCGGAAGCCATCATAGCGGTCCACTCACTCACTCACTCTATATTTTGTTTCATAAACACTTAAACAATTAATTCACACAAGCACATCATTTTCAAACAAAACTCTGAAAAGAAAGTTCCAAGCAAATGTAAAATAAAGCCATACTCACAATTCTTTGAAGGATTACCTGCCTTTTCAAACTCTTCTAAGAAAGGATTCTTTCTTACAGGTGGATCCTTAATTACATCTACTGCACCATCCCTTCAATAAAAATAAATATTAAACAAAGATTAAAAAAACAAGGCTTCCATTAATAAATTAAATAAAAATTTTAGTACACTTTTTTGTTTTCTCAATTTTACACACCATAACATCTCACTTTGATCTTCTTTAGGGTACCGGTACAGTGGGCATTCTTTTCTTATACTTACAAGATTAGTTTTCAGGTCTACAAGAACCAAACGAGGTGTGTAAGTATCTTCTCTCTAAGAAATAAGGACAAAGTTGTAAAATTCAATAAATGTAAGAAATTTTCAAATGTTTTTCAGAATTTCTAAAGTAAAAGATGCAACAGCAGTTCACAGCTTTATTGAGGTATGAAAATGGTTGCTTTGTAGTGAAGACTACGCAGACTTTCTGTGTTAGTTTACTCTTCCACTGTATATTAACAAAGAAAGGACTTTTACTTAATGGTATGTTTGCGGCTTGTGCTATTTTTTTTCTTTAGCATTTGTGTCAAGATCTGTATAATGGACTTCATAAAATGAATTTCTTTTTGATTTTGTTTAATTTTCGATATTATTTGCTTATGTTTTTTTTTTTTTTATTATTATTATTTTTTATAATATGTTGTGTTAAGGTTTTTTTCTGTTTTATACAGTTTTAGTCTGCCATTAAACTTTTTGATGTATTGCATCTTTTTAAACAATATTAAAGCACAGTTACCATATGTTACTAATCAAAACTAATACATACATTTTCAGATAACTCAGTCCGAGGTTATTAAAAATATTTTGTTGTTAGCACATAGATTTCAACATTTTACTGACTTTCACAAATCCAAATATGACGCAATTTCTAGATAGGATTACTATTATGCATTTCAGTCATCACATGAAAATGATTAAACTTGTACAAAATTTACATAAATAATTTTAAGTAAAATGATAAAGACTAAGGGCCTTTATTATTTTACTTTAAAATCAAACATATCAGTAATTTAAAACAAAAAATACTTTTTTATTATTATGGCCTCAATTTTTTAAATGCCAAATTAGAGCCAAAATTATTGCCAAGTTACTTCTTACATACATTTTCCAACTGCCATGTTGTCAAAATTCTTTTTATGGCAACAGAATAATTTTCTCATCTGCTTTCACCACATGAAACTCTGCAAGGTATGACAAAGGTGAACTATTGACTTGCTGATTTTTATTTTGCCTCCTAATGGAACAACAGCACAGTCTTCAACGTTTTCTATATTAGCAGCTATTATTGGATCAACAAAATGAAATCTACAGTTCACATTGAAATGTTTGTAACCAATATTTCCATTCCTCTGCTTTATATACTCGCCAACCGTCTAAATAAATTGTTGATGCCTCTTGAATATGATCATTTTTGCCATGAGTGCAGTGACTTCTCTATTCTTGATCTGAGAAAGAAATAGTACTTCCTTTCTCAGAATAATGCATCAGATATCCAAGTGGAACCGACTGCAATACCAAAGAGCCTGTGTTCAAATCTCGGAGAAGGCATGGTTGTAACTGTCTACCCCTTCATAGGAGGCAAAGGTGGCCCACCTATTAAATGCCTCCATAATAAAGTGGCCAAATCAAAGTTGGCTGACAGCCTGCCATTGTGGTTTAAAAAAAAAAATATCCAGTATTGTGGGAAGAATTCTCCTTGGCTTTGTTTTTATTCCTGTATGATCAGATTTTTGTTATGTCCACAATTTTTTCATACCCTGCAATTCACTTACTTGGTTTTCAGATTACATACTGAGAAAAATATCTCTAATACAACTGTTCCACTTAATTGCTGTATTATTGTAAAAGCTGAGTTGCTTCTCCCAGCAATTTATTGATGTCAGTTTCTATGCCCAACAGTAACTACATCATTGCTCTATTAGAAACAGTATTCTGAACCCAACTGAACAAATGGTTAAATCGGATGTTTTTCATTCACTTGCAATTTCATTTCAGTGCACTGCCAAATTCTTTCACTGAAATGCAGTTTTATTTAATGGCTATTTTCACATATTCAAATGTAAAGTAAAAAGTGCCTTTTTTGGAATACAACTATAACATACTCCTCACTTCTCAGTACATCAAATATTTTTAACATATTTTTGCAAAAATGGAAATATGTTAACAAATGAAACACTGAAAGCTCATCTTGTGACTAGGGCGTGGAGTCGGAGCTAGAGTCGCTAAAAACAGGTTGACTCCGCCTCCAGTTTTTGTTGGACAGTTGAATTTTAAATGAAATTAAAGTGAATTAAAAAAAGTAATGACCAACTGAGTTACTATTTTTATTTATGGCCTATATACATTAATAAATAGTTATTTTCTATTTTATTGGCATATTAAGAAATAAATATAAGGGAGGAGGATGGATGTGATATTTGCCATTAGTGATTAAACTGATTCATTTAGTTGCAAATCTCACTGGTAAATTTAGGTAAGCAGCAAGAACTCCTAAAATTTTGCCATTCTGAAGAAGTGAGCAGAAAAGGGAGCAAATATTGATTAAGCAACGCGATGACCAAGTACATATTTGATGATACAGAAGTTGTTAGAATTAAGAACTTTTTTAGAAGATGTAGATAACCCTAATGTTTCTTTCTCACTTATAAGGTATTTCTCCCACCTTCTTGGTTTGGTGGTCTACACGCGTATTCCAGAGTTCCGTGGTTCGATTCTCGGTGAGAGTATTGCTCATTTCTCATACTTCCTGCTTCCAAGTAACCTAATGTCTCCACAGTGGTTCACGAACTAAAAAGGTGGTGGATAACAATTCTCCCAACCCAGGAATTGACGACTGGGGGCCCTAAAAACCCAAATCACCCTTTAAAAAGGGGAGCATATAAGGTATTTCTCCCACCTTTTTGGTGTGGTGGTCTGCACGCTGGGCGCGTATTCCAGAGGTCTGTGATTCGATTCCTGGAGAAAGTGTTGCATATTTTTCATCTTCCCTGCTTCCAAAAGAATACCTAATGTCTCTACAGTTGTGCTCGAACTAAAAGGTGTTGGATGATGATTCTCCTCACCCAGGAATTGCCGATTGGGTCCCCTAAAAACCCCAGTCACCTTTTAAAAGGGGGAGTATATAAGGTATTTCTCCCGCCTTCTTGTCACGCCTTCATGGTATGGAGTTCTGCACGCTGGGCACATATTCCAGAGGTCCATGGTTTGATTCCTGGCGAAGGTGTTGCTATTTTTTCATCCTGGCTGCTTCCAATTACTTTAATAGCTCTACACACTAACAGGAAGACTGCGGAATGATCTTTCAGAATTGGAAACTCTTCTTTCTACACCATATATAGCCACAAAAAAGCTACAGTTTGAAGAATTAACAGGAGGCGAGAATGGAAGAATGTGATGTTTTTTCTTTCTGAAATTGAGAGTTTATTGCAAAAGGCATCATTTCTTCAATGAAGAAAAGAAAAAGCAGTTTGCTAGACAATGAGATCTTGATGAGTTTAAAATATATATATTCAAAACACCAAATTTTGTTGGATGACCAACAAATCAAAAAGGCAAAGAAAGCCATCTATGAACTTTCAATACGAATGAAATTATTTTCAGAAAAATTGGAGTATTCAAATCAGGACACTCAAACTACAGACTTTGCAACTCAGTCTCTGTCATCCTGTTTCAGTGATGAATTAGATTTTGAGAAATATTTTTGGATAATATTCAAAAAAGCTAGGGCAAAGCGAATGAAAATAAAGAACCAAGAACCTTTAGATATAAAAATGGAAAAATACAAACAAGATTTCTACATGGCCTTTGAAGAAATAGATAAACATGATTGATCTTGCAAGAAACCTCTTTCAGAACTTATTAAAATCTGTCCTGAAAAGTTAAAAGAACTTGCCTTAACAGTAACAGCTCTTCCTCCTACTCAAGTCAGTGTGGAAAGACTCTTATCAGCTCTGAAGTTTATTAAATCAAATCTATGGTCCTTCAGCAATGAAGATCTTGCCGATGCTATACTGTCTCTTTAGAAATAACCTAATGCCAGTTTTTCCCTTTCATAATAAATGCTAATTAACATAAATAATTTGCTATGCCATCAATTTTTTTCTGTAGCATCTATTACTTCTTTTATATTAAAAAATATGCTATAACCCATGTGTATATGTTTACATATACATATATGAGGGAGTCAGAGTTGCAGTCGGTCCTTTTCCCTACCGACTTCACAGCCCTGCTTGTGACAAAAGAATGAGTGATCAAGAATTGTAAACAGTTAAATGAAAAAAGAAAATATGATAACATATATTTACTTGGAGTTCTCCTCTTAACAAGCAAACTATAAATAATAGTTGTTAGGAAAGTCAGGCACCTGATGATGGTTTACACGGCTGTTTATCAATAATCTTGATGCTGTTAACAAACCGAAGGTAATAAAAATATGCAAGTACCTGAAAAACAAATCAATTAACATTTTCAATGGTGCATAATATGGTTCCACTTCTAAAATGTTTCGCCCGAAGTTCGATTGGGAGCAATTCCGGCCTTCTGGCCAGACCAATACCTAGACAGACTCGACTTCTCAAGAAAAATTAACAGTCTTCACAGTGACTAGAACAACCATTGTTTATACGGTGGTAGGTTCAGGCTTGGAAAAGACCATATGGTATTGTCTTGTCTCCCCTTTGCTTGTGGGGATACTATGTGGTGTGATATCAGAGGTTGTCGTTGGAGGTATGGCTCCCCTTGGTGAACACTGAAGGATGATTAATATCAAACTTTGTGCTTTCATAGTGGATGCTTAGCCATCCACCAATGACTTGTGATTCAAAACCCAAACTTTGTGAAAGAAAAATTTTCCCCCTGGGTTGACCAGGAAAGGTTATGTCTTTTTTAATTGCCTTTAGGGGTTGGAGGCATTTAATTGTATAAAGGCAGCTTCGAGCTAGACAGGTCTGGGTGTTACTTTCCTCCTGGTGAGCTTCTTAAATGCAAATGTTTATTTATTATTTCATTGCTTAATCTTCTTAATCTTTTTGTGAATGTAAGCTGTTCTTCCTTATACATACGATACTGAAATCTACTAATGCATGGAGACTCATGGAGACAAAACATGATTAAATAAATAAATTAATAGCTCATGGTTGACTCTAAAAGACATCACAATTGACTACTAGTTCACGAAGATTGATGGGCCAGTTCTGGTTTAATTATTCTCAAGTAGATGCCATAGAGCATGGATGGCAATTCCATTTGAAATTAATGTTGCATGTATAAACACTGAATTACCAAATACAACAACTTAAGTAAGATTTAAAGACAGGAAATATAATATACAGAAAATTAATAACAATACTAAACAGAATTTTAACTGTCCTTCTGAGTTTGGCATTTACCTCTTTGCTATGTAAAAATAACTTGCATAAAATTGGTTGCACTTCTGAAATAAAACAAAACTTTAAAAAAAAAAAAAAAAAAAAAAATTTAAAAAAAAATTTTTTTTTCATAGACTCACTTTTGATGTCAATATCACTTTTCAGATAAACAGATAACATGATATTAGTCAGCCCTAGTGAAAAAATTATACTCCAAACCAATCGTAATGATCAGGATGGCCAGAGTTTACTTAAGTGTTTTGAAAATATCATGTGATCAGAAGTTTCTTAGCTCTGGAGGCATCAAATGAAATTTTCTACTTACTTTATATGGAAGAACAGAATAATGAAAGAAATAATAGTCAACAGGAATGAGTACAAAAATAGATTGATCGACTGTAACATTAACAAAAGCATACAAAACGTTTTTTAAAAAAAGCCTTTTTGGGTGACGTTAAATCAGAAACTTTGAGGGCAAACAGGTACAGGTCCCACTTCATCAGGAGCAAAGGAATTTTGCAATGAAGCAAGAAGCAATAGCCATATTCATAGCAAAAGTAAAGTAAAACAAATGAGAAGGTAGTGCCATCTGTCCACAGAAATAATAACATGAAAAATTAAGTTATTAAAATTTTAAGTGTTAAGGAGGATTGGATTGGAATTTAAAATAAATTTTTGTTATTATGAAAAGCTTCAAAGAAATGCAATTCACCGCTTTTTGATAATTTTTACAGACTCAGAATAAGTCAGAATTGTGATTGAATTTTCAACAATGCTTAGCAATATCTGCTTACCCTTGAAATCAATAGAGATTTGGTTAAAATCTACACCACACAAGGTATTTGCTTTGCATAATTGCATGTTTTGCTTTAGGATATTTCTCTTCTCTCTTTTCATATTTTCTTTTTTATTTTATTATTATTTTTTTTTTAATTTCTTCTCGTATGCAATGTAACCTCCTGAATTACAATTTATTAGTATAGATTATCTTTTACAAATTCACTTGGCCTTGCCCTGCCCCGCACGTGACTACTTCTCAGCCAATCCAGCTGAGGCGAGTTTCTTCAATACTAATTCATTCATCTTTCAAGCTTCCACAGTCTCTTTACTGCTGGCGTCCTTTCACTTGTACTTCTGCTCACCAGTTCATTGTAGATTTATCTCTGCACACTGAACCAATATTCTTGAAACCCCTCGATGTCAGACCTTTTACATACAACTTCAAGATCTTCAACTGATCACTGCAAACTTCTGAAATCTTATTGCTTATCATTCTAAAAAGTGATCATCTTTACACACCCTACCAGTATTCAAAAAGTGACGGCCTTATTCGATAGGAATAGAGCATTCCAGCCCTGGTGCACTTCAAGCTGAACGTTTGTTAACGAAGAGCTTTCTTACTTCCAGATGTTATCAACAGTTAATGTCATAAATTTTAAATTAGAAGAGCCTATCCGCAGAAAAATATAGAAAATTGGTTTAATTGGAAATTGGTTTAATATAGGCTATTGGTTTAATATATGAAAATAAAGAAAATGAAAGCAATCAGTTTTATACTAACCTGAAGATTTAGACCTTGCCGAAACATAACATCATGGTTTATGTCAAGTGGAATACTTTTATCTGGAGTGTAACAAAATGAAGATTCCTAAAAATGAGTATTAAGAGTTTCAATAACTAAAAATTTTAACAATTTTAATATTAACAACAATTTTTAAAAAATAAGCATTTAAAATCTATTGAAATTCCAAAATAATTAGTCATAAATAGGAAACTTATTGAAAACAAACAATTATTTAGTAGGCATACTTTTGGGTTACAAATATACCTCTGAAAAATTAAAATTTAGCTAGCTGATATTTATTTGGGCAATCACTGTAAACTGTTGCATTTGTACTGGATTATATGAAGATAGCCAAGCTCATTAGTACTATTTGCTTGAGGAAGGCTGCCTTAATAAAATAACTTTCAAAGGAAAACTAGCTTTTATTTCCATTATGCATAGGAAAAACTATAAATGTGCTCATGCAGCCAACCCTTTCTGTGGGTTTTGAATTCAAGTCAAGCTCTAGTCAACCACTCGGCCACAGGTGAAAAACTGCTAACTGTTGACAGAAATCAAATGCTTTGTAATCAGCGATGCAAAAAGTTTCCAGATGTTTTTTTCTTCAATAAGTCACTAGTGTTAGATGAATTTGAGTCAGTTACCTTAATATTCCACTACTCGGTACTACTCTTATATGCGCCCTCGGTCGCCAAATGTGACAATATGTGTTCTGTTCTGAGACGGTTTTGGAGACGATGTTGTTTGTATGGCAACCCTTTTGATGCTGAAACTTACTCTTTCACTGCGGTGGTTTTATTTGCTCATCGGTTCTTGTTGTGCGAGTTTTGAAATGTAATGTTGCAATGAAAGATGTGGTGGGAAAATTTTAGTCGTGTATTTTAGATTGTGTGCAAAGTAAATTTAGTATTAAAAGGTACAATGTTGGAGTTATTAATGAGTCTTGTTTACAGGTATGTTTATGCGGATCAGAATGTATTTTTGGAATTTTTGTGGGAGTCAGGACTTCTGAAGCAAAGTTTGGCATGTCCGAAATGCAAAGCTGATATAAGAAGTCGTACAAAGAAGGGCATTTCTGATAGACTTGTGTGGATTTCCAGGGAAATGGTTGCTGCTAACCTATGTGGCTGTCAGCGGAGTTTAAGATTTGGAAGTTTTTATCATTCCCTTTAGAATTTTGAATCGCAGAAAGATGCGTGATATTGCAAAATTGTAGCACTTTTGTTCACAGACGTTGTGTGACTGGCGAAATTTTATTCATGAATGTATGCTGGATTTTGTATGCTCTTGATACTTGTGTTGTTTGAAGAAGCATTCATTATGATAAGTGCATTTTTTTTATTTTGTAGAATCTTATGTTCATGGTTTTTTTAGTATGAATTTCTGTCGTTATTGTTGTTTTTTTAATTGTTTGTAATTTATTTTAGTTATTTTGTTGATTAGTGCGCAAGTGTGCCTAGATTATGCAACTTGTAGATGTTTTTTTAAGTTTAAACAGAACCCTGTATATATGTTATTCTTTGAAATTTATTGTTGTTGTGTTAATTTATTTAAGCAAGGTGTGCATAGTTCGTAGATTCCTTTGCTTCCTAAATAGTGCAATTCGTAGTTTTTTTTATTTTAAACAGAATGCTGTGTACATGGTATTATTTGAAATTTATTGTTGTTATGTTAATTTATTTAAGCAAGGTGTGCATAGTTCGTAGATTCCTTTGCTGCCTAGATTGTGCAATTCGTAGACTTTTTTAAAGTTTAAACAGAATGCTGTATACATGGTATTCTTTGAAATTTATTATTGTTATGTTAATTTATTTAAGCAAAGTGTGCATAGTTTGAAGATTCCTTCACTGCATAGATTGTGCAATTCTGTGATTTTCAGTTAAAACATGTTGCTGTGTACATGGATTCTTGTCAAATATTTTTGGTTAGAAACTTTACGTTTTTGCTATCTATTTTTTTTTTTTTTTTTTTTTTTTTTTTTTTTTGTTTTGTATTTTTAGCTTAAATTGTGCGTTCAAAACGTGATTTTTGCAGATGCGAAAACCGCGTTTTTGGAGACATTTTAGGCTTAAAGTTCAAAAGGTAGACAAAAAATTTAGATAGTAATATGGCACCGTGGAGGTCACCAAGCGAGGGCATATCTAAGAATTTTCACTATTCTGGACCCACTGTTACTTGAGAATGGTTTCTCTTAATAGTGCACCAACACAGATTACAAGAAATTTGTCCACTCCCAAACTCTCAGAAATTTGTTGCACTTCCTGGAAAGGGTTGCTAAAAATCTCATTTGTATAAATTAATCATATTGGTACTTATGTAGTACCACCTTGGTAGAAGTCACCAAATTTTCAGAATGTGCCAAACTCTGACAACACGCCCATAATAATATTTCAGGCAGTTCTGCATATTATAGTTCATCAGTTTCAGTAAGCCATTTTTGTACGTATTCTTTTTATTGTACAAAAAATTGTTACAAAAAAATAGAGGTACATTTTGTCTTGAACTCAATTTTAAAATATGTTCTTGAGAGATTAGCCCGGCACTAAAAGAAACTGTTATACAATTTCAGCAGGAATATAGTATTTGTTTTGCCACAAAATCGGTAAAAGGAACAAATATTTTGAATCTCTTCTTAAAGTGATCACTATAAACTTTCTATTACAATAATAAAAACAAAAATCCACTTGTAAGTAAGAGTACCGTTCCACTATCAGGACCGGTTCAGAAATGTATGCATATATATATAAGTACAACTATATGTGTGTGTGCATACATACACACATTCATACATTTCTGAATCTCGTCCAATATATAAAAATATATATGAGTATAATACTAAACAATTTTTTATGATCACAAACTATCATTCTTTTTCTTCTGTAATATATTCTCAAACTACGACAAGCTGGTTATGGTGATACATAAATACACAGCAGGATTAAGACTTAGAGGACCCAAGCACTTGAAAAATTTTGTCACCTTTCATGTTTATGCCAGTTTTTCTTTCATTCCTTTCCTCTCTCAGCTTCGGTTAAGCTGCTTTATGCATTCCATGGTAAAACTGATAACGAAAATTTTGGTGCCCTAAGAACGTGCTCATATTGCTTATTAATTAATCGAATTCTGTATAAGTACTTTCATAATTGAATCTTTTACTTCATGTAACTTCAGTTTATGAAAGGGTTCACAGAAGGCACTCTAATTTTTAATAATATAGAGAATTTTCACTCTTCTCTATCATGGTGATTTGCAGAGTAGCCAATAATCTGATGTACAGATATAAACTGAAGCAAGATTGAAACATGTGCATCCATCTATTCATATCACCAGACTAGCTGCTAAGCTTCTGTCCCATGTCACATCATTGGACATTCGAGAAAGAAACCTGGGGAAGGAGGAGTTCAGGAGTCTCCCATCACTCTTTTCCTACCAATAACTGCTCGAGAACATTTCGGCTCATCATGGCCAAAATAAAACCAGCCCAGAAAATATTTTTGGAATTTCATTAAAATGTACTCTAAACAACAAAGAGGTCATTCCAGGCAAGTTTTATTTTGGCCACTCTGTACAAATTAAAGTACCAGATTCCTTTATCTATGCATTAAAACATGACATATATATATATATATTTATATATTTAATGATGATTTGTTTATTTATTTTAAAAAATATGTCTGTGTAATTATCATATTTATATTAGTTTTTCGCTGAATGTGGCTAGCCTATATTTGACGGTGCCCTCACCAAGTTGTTGTTTCATTTACGGAAACCTGAGTAAAGGGTGCCCGTTGGATTATCGCCGAGTTGTTCTTTCATTTATGGTAACTTGAGTAGTTGAATGTTATGAAAACCCTATTATGACGTAATTGGTTGAGTGAATTTGACTGATGGGAAAAGATTTGTAAAGGCTTATTTGTGTGTTGGATGTTGGTTAGGAAGTTGCTTATTTTGTGGTTTACACTATAAAACAGCTGAATGTGATAAGATTAATTTGAAATTTCTATCGGATTTGGAACAAAGGAGGAAGTATTAATTGACTGGTGTGTAAATGAAGGTTTACTTAGTACAGTCAAAAGTCGTTAATCCGGACTTCGGCGATTCCGGATTATAGATCATCAGTTTAAATCTCGTAAGATGGCATGCAGAAATTCTAAAATTAAAAATATGAAACCGTAATTTATGAAATAAAGAACAGTTATGATCTAAAGTGCATCAAAATTTACAAAAAAAAAAAAAAAAGCTTAATATTTGTTTACTTTATTAAACATTTCTTTTAATGTAAGTTGTTTAAGTTGCTTCGTTTTATGTGATAATACTTTCTCTTTAACTCTATAAACAGACATAATTTCTTGTTCAGTTACAAAGTTCCGCTGTTCAAGTCCTGTAAATGCTGTGCCGAGAATACCGACTAACTTGTCAATCGAAATTTTTTCGTTTTCACTAACCTCTCTGTCACCTTCTTCATGTCTTTATCCATTTTTTGCAGCAATTCCACTTTTTGTTTGATGGACATCGAAACATACTTTCGTTTCGAGCGGTAAAGACGGTGAACACTGGTAGTTTGGTCCGAGGTTCAAATCCCACGAACGGGCTGGCTGCATGGGCGTTTTCATGGTTTTCCCCATGTGTAACATGGATACGAGTCAGTTTCCCTTAGAAAGTCCTCCACAGAGGCATCACTCCCTTTAGGCAGACAGCCCTTCTGTGCTTTGCCATAAATGAGTAATCCTATCCAATCCATGTACCGTCGAAAATCGCCAAGGGGTACCCTAAAATATACTTTTTCCAAAACAAAAAAAAATATGATACATGAAAATATAAAAAATAGAATAATAAAATAAATTCCAAAAATTAAAGAAAATATTACGTATTTTTTAACACCTTTTTAAGAGTGTTAATGTCAACGTTAATCAGAAAATGTAATTTTATAAAATTACAGTTAATCGCGCACTGTGAAAATTTCACTTAATTTCACCTACTGCCTCTACAAATTTCACAGTTTCATTCCGCAATAAAATTAATATCGTAATAATCATCCAATTTTTCCCATCTGTTAAATTGACTGAACAGCGATACATTTGAATTTTTGTTCGCAGATATTCTCTCCATATACACTTCAAATTATATTTATATGCACTCATGTCCATAAATTAAAGATAATGTCAGTTCTGGGAAATAAAGGTTTAGAGACAAAAACATGACTTATTCATAAAGCCCCAGGCAAAGCCTAGAGATGACACTTTGGACTATTCCAAGTTCCTCGGATACTTACATTTGAGTACGCTCATATTCCAGGAGGCCGATTAATACTACCTCGTAAAAAATTATCCACACGCGCCCTCTGTGTCATAACTATACTGTTATGGCACTGAGCAGCTTACAGAACGTTTGTAAAGCTTCTTTGCTACTATTCCTTACATACACCGCTCTGAAACTCTCGTCATTGTAACGTACTATCGGCGTCATTTGATGGCTTCCTGTAATTTGCATATTATTTTTGAAGATGCATGCGATAATTCTACAGGTAAAATTTTTACTTTAGAGTTCGATTTCCGTGTGATTCTGAATTATCCTTAATTTATGGACATGAGTGTATATCACATACCTGCATATTCCACCAGTGGCAGCCAACGAAATTTGCATACTGGCCAGCTTGTATAGTAACAACTTCATGAGCAGCCATTACGTTTCAAAATTAAAAAATGCCCGCTAAACTTTTAAAAATAAATGCACATTATATCACACAAACAGACGAGCAGTAGGCTTTTATTTATTTTCATTATTAGTGTTGCCAGATTCTAGTTCAGAAATGCTTTCTCACAAAGCAGAAAGGCCAACTCAATATATATAAATTTATTTTTTAATTTATTTCCTAAACAGTATTGATTAATTGATTATATTATCTCCTAAGTTTAATTAAAGTAGAATTATTTTAAAAGTGTGCATTCATACTGGTAAGTTATATTTTGAAAGATGTTTTGAAGTAATTTGAAAGCAAAATGTTAATAATGTTTTAACAGGGACTGGAGTTAAATCATCACGAAGAATAATATTTCAATTGTAAAAGGAAAAATTAAAACATGTAATCATTGTCATTGATCGGAAATTAGTTGACTTTTCAAGGGGAACAAACCAACTCCCGTTCAATGAACAATAATTGATAAAAATACGTAAATACGAAAGTGTTTCGTCTTTACTCGAGTTATAAGTTAAAGCCAAACCGGCAATTCTAGTCAGGCCAAATATTTCCGCGAATAGTAGGAATTATGAACCAATGCTGATACTCAAAGAACTTATTCTTATGAAGCATTCTAGTCAATTCAATTTGGAGTAAAAATCAATTACTGTAGAGAAATCCTATAAAACTCAAGTAACCGTCCCCGACACTTTCATGTTTATGCATTTGAGTACTATATTATTTGTAGAAATTAAACATTGGAAATTGTCATTATGAAATCGAATTCAAAGTAAAGTTGAAATAAACATAGAAGATTATAAAAAAAATAAAATAATGCAAACTTTGTAAAAACAAATCAAAGAAAATATAAAAAAATATATAAAAAATAATATAGAAAAATATATAAATAAGATCAGTGAATGTACATGAAGATATAAAGGCCAGAAAAGGTATTAAGTAACTCACATTCTTTCTAGTGGGGGAGTTGGCAAAATACCTTTTCTGGCCTTTATATCTTCTGGCCTTTATATCTTTATCTTTCTGGCCTTTATATCTTTATATCTTTGATTTGTTTTTACAAAGTTTGCATTATTTATCTTTTTTTATAATCTTCTATGTTTATTTCAACTTTACTTTGAATTCGATTACATAATGACAATTTCCAATGTTTAATTTCTACAAATAATATAGTACTCAAATGCATAAACATGAAAGTGTCGGGGACGGTTACTCGAGTTTTATAGGATTTCTCTACAGTAATTGATTTTTACTCCAAATTGAATTGACTAAAATGCTTCATAAGAATAAGTTCTTTGAGTATCAGCATTGGTTCATAATTCCTACTATTCGCGGAAATATTTGGCCTGACTAGAATTGCCGGTTTGGCTTTAACTTATAACTCGAGTAAAGACGAAACACTTTCGTATTTACGTATTTTTATCAATTATTGTTCATTGACGGGAGTTGGTTTGTTCCCCTTGAAAAGTCAACTAATTTCCGATCAATGACAATGATTACATGTTTTAATTTTTCCTTTACAATTGAAATATTATTCTTCGTGATGATTTAACTCCAGTCCCCGTTAAAACATTATTAACATTTTGCTTTCAAATTACTTCAAAACATCTTTCAAAATATAACTTACCAGTATGGATGCACACTTTTAAAATAATTCTACTTTAATTAAACTTAGAAGATAATATAATCAATTAATCAATACTGTTTAGGAAATAAATTATTATTAACTAATTTTGCAGCAATTGCGCAAGTAATAATAACTTGTATTCGCACTAAATGGATTTAAGATCATACAACAATTTATTTTCTAATAGTGTACCAAATTCCGGAACAGACGACGGAAGGGAGAGTGACTTTCATAACTATGATGTCAATGGTAAAATTTGCATAAAAGTGCTTTTAATGTGTATCCATTTGCCGACTATGTACTCACTGGAAATTAACATCTCTTCATCTCAGATTTACCTTATATTCCGCAAGGTAATTGCAAATATTGTATTGAGGAGGAAGAAAAGAAAAAAATGAATAAAGTAAACAAATAAATATCAAGCTTTTTATTTGTAAATTTTGATACCTTTTAAATCATAATTGCTCTTTATTTCATAAATTACGGTTTCATATTTTTAATTCTATAATTTCTGCATGCCATCTTACCAGATTTAAACTGATGATCTATAATCCGGAATCGCCGAAGTCCCGACGAGTCCGGATTAAAGACTTTTGACTGTACTATCTTTCACAAATAAATGTTCAAAACCTTCTTCTCCTAAATATTTGTAGAATTTCCAGTCACCCGAAAAAATTGTTTGCCAACACGTCATAAATCACTTAATTACCACAAACCACACGAACCAAATAGCAAATCCAAGTTTCCATGTAAAAAGAGTTGCCATAGAAACCAACGTAGCCCCCAAAATCATCGCAGAACATGCAATTGCGCCCAAAAACAGTGCACGATACATATCGCCGCCTTTGGCGACCTGAGGGCCCATATAAGAGTAGTACCCAATTAACTGTCATCATTTTATTTTTCCTTCTATTTTGAAATAAATTATTTCAAGGGCTATAGAATCACATTTCTGACTGCACTTTGGATCATCTGCAGCTTGTCGCTCGAATTAACATGCATTTAATGGAAAAGAACAGCTGGATATGACAACAAAACAGCAATAGATTGTAGCAATCACCTGCGAGAATTATTTACTCATAGCTTTATATACAGAACTTTCGTAAAAATCGAACGGGATAACAAAATAATTCGACGGCTCAATCCTAGTATACGCCGCACCAGTCTATACATTTTTTACTTGGACACGCCTTTTTATGACGTAATTATTGGCTATGCCTCTTCTTGAAAACAAGTTTTGGGTATGTTATACTTCATATGTAAAGAAAATTTAAATTATATTTTAACTGAACTGAAATGTTAGGTTTATAATGTTCTGCGCGAGATATTTTTTATTATAAATATATTTTTGTGCATTGTGTGGTACTGTTAGCATTTAACGCATCGAGTTGTCTTTCAAAAATGTATTATTAAGACACCAAACGATTGAAAACGATCATTACCATACGACTGAAAATATTGAATGAATGATTTAAAAATTATGACCATAATTGCTCAAAATACAGAAAAGAATTCTTATTGATGCGTATGTCTGATTCGGTGCTTTCTGAAGAATGGATGATTATCTGAATCCGTTTTTTTTTTTAATCAGTTGGAGAGAAAACGTAAAAAATGCGTGATTGAGTGGTGTATGGAAAAACGTTTGATTTCAATATATTCTGAAAAAGGACAGGGCTGAAGGTAAGTTTAATTTATTAATATTGACTTAATAAAATATCGGGTGCTTGTCAAGTATAGCAATTTGGATGTTCGGTAATTACTTTATTATGGTAGGTTTATTTTCGTTTTGTGTCATTTTTCTGGAAACATTTTTTTTTTACAACTCGAAACAATGGAGTTGGTTATGCGCGAGTTTTTGCAATTCTCTGATTTTTTTAAGTGAAAGCAGATTTCTGAGTATATGAGGAATGCAGAGTTTATTTTATGTCTGGTTTTTTTTTAAGTGAAAAGAGATCGTTGTGTACATAGGCAAAGCCAAGGTAGTGTGCAATGCCGAGTTTGTGCAATTATCTGAGGTTTTTAAGTGAAAATATAGCGATGTGCACAGTGCAGTGCCGAGTTTATGCAATTCTCTGATTTCTTTTAAGTGAAAAAAATCGATGTGTACATGGGCAAAGCCAATGTAGTGCGCGATGCCAAGTTTGTGCAATTCTCTGATTTTTTAAATGAAAATAGATCGGTGTGTACATGGCCATAGCCAAGGTTATGCCGATTTTGTGCCGCAATGCCGATTTTGTGCAATTCTCTGATGTTTTTTAAGTGAAAATAGATCGATGTGCACATGGACAAAGCAAAGGCACTGCGCAATGCCGAGTTTGTGCAATTCTCTGATTTCTTTAAGTGAAAATAGATGGATGTGTACATGGACACCGAGTTTGTGCCATTCTTTGATGTTTTTCGAGCGAATACCGATCGTTGTGCACATGGGCAAAGAGAGACTGTGTGTGATACCGAGAAGAAAGGTAGCGTACTTTATGTGCAGGGTTTAATATATGGTTTGCGTATTTTATATTTGTATTTTTGTTTTAATTGTAAATTATATTTTAAACATATTTTTTATTCAAATTGTATTTTTAATTGTTTGATATGTTAATAATGCTTTCCGATTTACGATAAATAACGATAGTCCGACGATCTACTCAACAGTAGCTAAACTGTAAACTTTGACCCTATAAGTAATTTTTACCTCATTATTTTAGTACGCAGTGTTTGCTATCGTAATTGCACTTGATAATATGAATTCATTGATAATATGTGTGTGTGTGAAACATTGCTTAGTGTTCCATTTTTTTTTTTTTTTTTTTTTTTTTTTTTTTTTTTTTTTTTTTTCAAATGGCAGACTGTGAGCAATTACAAATGTAACCCAGTCCAATAATCTATACAAGGCCGGATGTGGTGGACTCTTTATTATGGAGGCACCTAATAAGTCGGCCACCATTGCCTTTTCTATGAAGGGACGGACAATTAAAACCACGCCTTCTCCGGGATTCGAACCCAGGCCCTTCGGCATCGTAGTCAGCTTCCCTGACCACTACACCGACTGGGCGGCTTAGTGTTCTAAATTTGTAGTATTTATTTTCTTATTTTATTTTCTTTCATTGTGAGAAATTAGACTTTTTTATTTATTAATCTGTAGAATTCTAGTATGCTTACAGAGAATTTGACGTGATTTAGGGATTTAAGAAACTGATAGGAAAGCTGTGTATGATGTTCATATGCAATAAACAAAATAATTTTCCTTTTCATTAATGTAAAATTTAAAATTTTAAAAATATAATGAAGAGTGCCTACTTACTGGTATGGGAAGGATTATGTCGTTACATAACAATAAGGTAATTTGTAAAAATGATAAAATTTATATGTTCCACAACATGAATTTAAATCTGAAAAAATCTTTTTTTTATTACTTCCTTGTACGAAGTAAAAAGGAAGTATTGTAATCGCGAAAAGTTTCAGGCAGCATATTTCAAC